TTCAATTATTGTCAAAACTGCTTTTTATGAAACAAGATTCAATTTATATTCCTGTCGACCATGGACTTGCTTGATACTACTTTCTCAACTTTTTGAAAATCAATTGGATGGTTAAAATCTCTTACATGAATAAATAGAGCGTTGGAATCTTGTCCAGTTCTAATGCTATATTTATGTTGTTTTAATCTTAGTTCGAGATTTTTACCAGTTTGACCATAATAAACTTTATCGCAAATTTTACAAGGAATCTTATAGACACATCCATCAGCATTTTGGGGGGAATTCTTTATCAAAAGTTTTTTTTACTGTATCAAGATTTTTGAATACAACATTAATATTAAAAGTCTTAAGAAGAGTAGGCATATCAACCAAGTTTTCATGGTAAGGGAGAACCAACATATTTTTAGTTGAATAAGGCTGGCTGCCCCTTTCTGGATTATAAAAAGTGTTTCTAGCAACTTTAAAAGATTTATCAATTAAATTTTTGGGTATTTTAAATCATTACCTATTTCATAAATTTTGGATATTTCCTCATGTATGAACTCAGGACTACAAATTCGTAAAGCTCTCAAAAACATTGATGAGAAAACAGACAGTTTGACTATCTTGATGCGAGGAATAATAGTGGACATAGGAACAGTTATTTGTAGGTTTTCTGTAAATTTTAAATTTGAATTCATTATTACCCTTAATAATTAAAACATCTAGAAAAGGCAATGAGTTATTTTCTTCAAACTCAACAGTAAAGTTTAAGGGCAATATAAACACAAATGCAGTATAATGTGATCCTTTATTGACTACGTTTCGCCCACACAGTGGGCTTTTTCAAGTCACAAACAGAACTACCTGGGGTGGAAGGAACGCGAGTATTTATAGTCCGGCTGAGGTCAGGTGAAGAATGCTGCATCTGATGATGTACCGAGTGGGGTTATAGAGTCTAAAAACTTGGGTAGCTTGGAAAGGAGATTGGATAAGTTTGTGAGCAGACCTTCTACAGTGTTCTTATGTGGGATAGCGATGAAGAAGTTTCTTGGCAAGTGGTTCAGCTATGTTATAGAAGCCACTATTCTGGTTGAAGTTGTCGGATATAGAAATGAGTGATGATTCCAGGATTCTTCGGTATTGAGTGTTGTCTTCTGTGGCGATAAGTCTTGAGTTTCTGTAGTTTATCAAGTGGTTGTGTGAATTACGGTGTTGTACGCAGGCATTCCTTGTGTCGTCAGACCTGCTTGCGTATTGGTGTTCTGAAATACGTGTTTGGAGGTCCCTTGATGTTTCGCCCACGTATAACTTGTTGCAGTCATTACAAGGGATTATGTATACCCCTGCAGAGGATGGAGGCTTGTCCTGCCTACTACTGGTGATGTCCAGTAAAGTTTAAAAAAGGGGCAGCCAGCCTTATTCAACTAAAAATATGTTGGTTCTCCCTTACCATGAAAACTTGGTTGATATGCCTACTCTTCTTAAGACTTTTAATATTAATGTTGTATTCAAAAATCTTGATACAGTAAAAAAACTTTTGATAAAGAATTCCCCCCAAAATGCTGATGGATGTGTCTATAAGATTCCTTGTAAAATTTGCGATAAAGTTTATTACGGTCAAACTGGTAAAAATCTCGAACTAAGATTAAAACAACATAAATATAGCATTAGAACTGGACAAGATTCCAACGCTCTATTTATTCATGTAAGAGATTTTAACCATCCAATTGATTTTCAAAAAGTTGAGAAAGTAGTATCAAGCAAGTCCATGGTCGACAGGAATATAATTGAATCTTGTTTCATAAAAAGCAGTTTTGACAATAATATGAATATTTCCTTTGGTTTATATAAATTAGATCCATTTATAATTAATAGAATTTGGGAAGAATTTAATAATACACTGGACAAATAATTTTTAAATTTTTCTTGGGTAGAATAGCTTGGGGGTGAGTTGTGCAAAGGACCTATCCAAGTTGGCTCGCCGTGCGTCACGTGTTTAAGCGTTGTGGGATCTGATAGTGAGGTGCTGGCCGGACCCCTTATATAGCTTCCTTGGATGCTTCACTTTCATAGTTCCTTGATTAAATGTGAGTAGTCACGAAAGGGGCTTGGAATTTCTCTCTCTTTCAGAGTGGTTGTTTTGCTATATATAATATATTATATATATATATATATAATTATTTATATATATATATATATATATTATAATATAGGGAAGTACCACCTCTATAGCTGGACTGGGCACCCTCATCCTCAGAGAAGACAATAAACGTACCTCAGGGAAAACTCAAGGTTCTCCCCGGAGCAGTTTGAATATTTTCTTCTCCTGCCACCCCCTATATTTTATATTCTATGTGAACATTTATTAATAAACAGAATACATTTACAGAAAAACACAAAGATGAATACAATGGTACAATGTATTAAAGATCATGAATTTCCTCCAGCTCCTCCGAAGCCGGACGCGAGCCAAGTATATAGCAAGCATTTCCCCTTTGGATGGCCATGCTGAGGCGCTGGAACATGAAAGTGGCTGCCCTTGGGTCCCTGGTGGTGTTGATGAGTCTGAACCCAATTCTTTAAGGAAATGTGTGGCATTTTTTCCCCATGATCCCAAGGTCTCTGATCCCTCTGGGACAAATTGATACTGTTGGCTTATGTCCCTGTACTTGCTGATCTTGTACTCCTCCCTGTGGTCAGCAGCTCCTCCCTGTCGCCCAACACTGTGATGGATATAGGTGTCACCCAGCGTCGACACACAGGTATAGTCCCATGCTAAGACCTTGGCATTCTTCCAAGGATAGATGGTGATCCTGTCGGGGCAGTTTGCTGGGTTATAGGTATTGTTGGCTGCTAGTGATCGGGCCTCCCTCTCGGCTGGGCATCCAGCTGTAGCAAGGGTTCTCTTAATGTCGTTGACCTTATTGTGTCTTGCATGCCAGCCCTTGGTTTTGGAACAGTTAAGACCATGTAGACCATATTGGTCTGCTTGCGCTTCGCCGCAAATACACGTATATTCTGTGTGAATTGGGCCAGCAAGGCGCTGGTCGAGTCGCGTTCCCATTGCCGATATGGGAACTGTTTGGAGGAAGTCCCCGGAGTGAGGTGCGCTCACAGCCTGGAGACGGGCAATCTCCCTATCTGATGTTGCAGCCCTGAGCATGTTGGCAAGCACCTTTTCAGCGATCGGGCCATCCCAGCTTGACTGTTTGTGAGCCAGTGCTGCACTAGGGTTTGGTGCTGGAGCAGCAAGAGTCTCCCATTCAGGGATGGCACTGGCATAGCTAGGGTCCTGTATTCCTGCTGAGTCACTGAGGTTATCAGGAAGAATTTGTCTCATCAACTCGTTTGATGCTGTGGGAGGTATCACCTCTAGAACTGTCCTGGGGACCCTCATCCTCAGAGAAAAGAATGAACTTGATTCAGGGAAAACTCAAGGTTCTCCCTGAAGGTGTTTGAGAATATATATTGTAGAATGTGAAAAAAACATTGTGATAACTTCACTCCGGCAGAAAGAGGGAGCGTGGAGCGGCATAAGGTTGTGTCCAACGGAGCAGTCTACCGACCCAGTTGTGGTGCAACTTTTCCACATACATAACAACAACTGCTATCCTGTCTCTGTTAATTTCAAAGCCTAGCTGTAACTATAGTATGTCATCCCTCAGGAATGTGATCCACAAAATCAATTAACCCTAGTACTTATTTACTGCTAGGTGAACAGGAACAGCAGGTGTAAGAAGGCTTACTCATAACTCTCCCAGCCCTGGACTCTAATCTGGGACCTTCTGTTGCGAGACGAACGCTAGCCACTAAGCTACTTGTCAGCCCGTCATATGGTCGGTAGAGTACTGTATTTTGATATTTGGAGAGTACTTGACCGTTTAGATCATTCAGTGCTTTTGGCAAAAATCATATACAACACAAGAATAACATGAGTAAAACGCACAACCTAAATAAACAATTTAAAATAATCATTATTTAAAACGCCCCTTAAATTGATAATATGAAAAGACTCAACTAAAGGTTCCCCGATATTCCCAGAGGCACCCCGGTAATCATAAAACCCATAACGAAAACGGAAAGGCTTAAGACATGGACAAACTGTAAAAAAAAGTTTCACAATCACCCTTCATATGGGTGCCCATACCAAGAGCCCCCTGGAGAGAGACGCGTCACTTTGACTTCATATCATATTGTAGTCACTAGCATATATTAAATAATTATTTGTATATATATTATTGTTAAGCAAGTCTTAAACATTATGTACATTTGTATAATAAGGCAGCAGGCTGTGCCAGTTTGCAAGCGTGCGTGCGTGTGTCGCCGGGAGTGTGTGAGATCGCATAAGCTAGGTGAACAAGCAGCTACACGTGCACTTAATGAACAGTTGGTAAATAAGGCCAGAGCTAGCAGACCAGCATGACAATAACACAAGCCTGCCACTCTCTAAGCTCATCATCTCTTCTGGTATTTTAAACATTTCCTGTCCTGTAGGTAAAGACACTTGTGCCAAATTCATGATATTTACTGAAGAAACGTTTAGCGGCGAGAGGCGAAACGTTTTCTGAATATTTTGAGCTGTACATAAGCGTTATCTACACACCGTCTTTAACACAATGCCTGTTTTCCAGCTATACTGTGCCTTACCCTTTTCGACGCACTCTAATGTGTGTATATCAAGGTTTATACCAACATACAACAATAAGTGAGAGAGAGGAAGAGTAGCGTGCATAGCACCCCCCCCCCTCGTACACGTTTGTCTCCCCACAAACACCCAAGCTTTCATGCACACGCCTACGCAGCCCTCCACCCACGCGCACACAGTTGCTGTGAGTAAAGTCATGCAGGGATTAGGGGGATGTCTTACCTTGGGTTTGCTATCGCGGAACTCCAAGGACCTGGGCCTCTGCTCACCATCAGAGTCGTCGGAAGAGTCCAGTCTGGAGCCAATCTTAGCGTACGCTGACGAAGCTCTCGGCCGCCTAGGCAACGTCAGGGCAATCTTGTCCCGCAGGTTTTCGTTGCGGTCCCGCAGGCTCTCGTTGCGGTGCTCCCGCATATTGTCCTGCCGTGGCTGCGGGAAGATATTCTCGTTGTGCAGGTGATGATCCTTCTTCTCTCTGAAAGTCTGGTAGCGTTCCTTAAGGTTCTCGTAGCGGTGGATAGTGTTCTCGTAAACGTGAGGGTCCTTCAGCTTGGAGGTGCGGCGACTCTTCACAGGCTTGAACGATATAGTGCTGTACATCTGGTGAGGGAGGGTGTAGGTGCTGTTAGGGTACCTCGCACTCACTACCGGAGGAATGACAGCCGTCGCCACCTGGCGAGTGACAGCCGTCGCCACCTGGCGAGTGACAGCCGTCGCCACCTGGCGAGTGACAGCCGTCGCCACCTGGCGAGTGACAGCCGTCGCCACCTGGCGAGTGACAGCCGTCGCCACCTGGCGAGTGACAGCCGTCGCCACCTGGCGAGTGACAGCCGTCGCCACCTGGCGAGTGACAGCCGTCGCCACCTGGCGAGTGACAGCCGTCGCCACCTGGCGAGTGACAGCCGTCGCCACCTGGCGAGTGACAGCCGTCGCCACCTGGCGAGTGACAGCCGTCGCCACCTGGCGAGTGACAGCCGTCGCCACCTGGCGAGTGACAGCCGTCGCCACCTGGCGAGTGACAGCCGTCGCCACCTGGCGAGTGACAGCCGTCGCCACCTGGCGAGTGACAGCCGTCGCCACCTGGCGAGTGACAGCCGTCGCCACCTGGCGAGTGACAGCCCGTCGCCACCTGGCGAGTGACAGCCCTCGCCACCTGGCGAGTGACAGCCCGTCGCCACCTGGCGAGTGACAGCCCTCGCCACCTGGCGAGTGACAGCCCTCGCCACCTGGCGAGTGACAGCCCTCGCCACCTGGCGAGTGACAGCCGTCGCCACCTGGCGAGTGAAGAGCCACCAGGCTCACATGTATTAAGCATGGAAACATACAAATACAGAGCAATGAGATCCATGAATGCCAATGTTTCGCCCGTGTAGTGGACTTTACCAGGTCAAACTGCGTGGGCGAAACGTGTCGGTATTTGATAGCATTTCTCTGCAGATGTTATGCATCTCGGGACCCGTCATGTGGGATGCCTCCTTCCTTCCTAGTAAAGGTAATGAACGAATCTTAATACAAGGAATTGAAGCTATCCCTCTCCTTCATCGGATCAAACCTGATTCCCCACGTGCTGTAAGACCCTTACAGATTTAGCGCTTCTCTATAAACATAATCCAGGGGTTAAGATTAACATGTATAATGGTAATGAATAAACCCACAAGTCATTTTGCAGCAGTTGGGAGTGAAGTGTCAAGGGAAATAACACTGGATTTCAGGAAGTGAAATGTAGCTCTGGTTCTTTGGATGAAGATCCCTTATAAGCAGCACGAAGGCAGCAGCTGGTTATCCCAGCAACATAATCTTAGGACAGAGTGATGAATTACAAGCTGGCTTGGAACACCACTACAAGCTGGCTTGGAACACCATTACAAGCTGGCTTGGAACACCACTACAAGCTGGCTTGGAACACCATTACAAGCTGGCTTGGAACACCACTACAAGCTGGCTTGGAACACCATTACAAGCTGGCTTGGAACACCACTACAAGCTGGCTTGGAACACTACAAGCTGGCTTGGAACACCACTACAAGCTGGCTTGGAACACCATTACAAGCTGGCTTGGAACACCATTACAAGCTGGCTTGGACCACTACAAGCTGGCTTGGAACACCATTACAAGCTGGCTTGGAACACCACTACAAGCTGGCTTGGAACACCACTACAAGCTGGCTTGGAACACCATTACAAGCTGGCTTGGAACACCACTACAAGCTGGCTTGGAACACCACTACAAGCTGGCTTGGAACACTACAAGCTGGCTTGGAACACCATTACAAGCTGGCTTGGAACACCATTACAAGCTGGCTTGGAACACCATTACAAGCTGGCTTGGACCACTACAAGCTGGCTTGGAACACCACTACAAGCTGGCTTGGAACACCACTACAAGCTGGCTTGGAACACCACTACAAGCTGGCTTGGAACACTACTACAAGCTGGCTTGTAACACCACTACAAGCTGGCTTGGAACACCACTACAAGCTGGCTTGGAACACCACTACAAGCTGGCTTGGAACACCACTACAAGCTGGCTTGGAACACCATTACAAGCTGGCTTGGACCACTACAAGCTGGCTTGGAACACCATTACAAGCTGGCTTGGAACAATACAAGCTGGCTTGAACCACAAGCTGGTTTGGAACACCACTAGAAGTTGGCTTGTAACTACAAGCTGGCTTGGAAAAACACTACAAGTTGGCTTGGACCACTAAGCTAGCTTGCAATACTACAAGCTAGCTTGTAACACTACAAGCTGGCATGGAACACTAATCTAGCCTGTAACACTACAAGCTGACTTGTAACACTACAAGCTGGCTTGTAACACTACAAGCTGGCTTGTAACACTACAAGCTGGTTTTTAACATTACAAGCTGACTTGTAATACAAGCTAGCCTGTAACACTACAAGCTAGCTTGTAACAATACAAGCTAGCTTGTAACACTACAAACTGGCTTGTAACACCACTACAAGCTGGCTTGTAACACCACTACAAGCTGGCTTGCAGCACCCCTACAATTAATCGTGGCAAGCTCTACCCGCCGGGGGTCATACAGCCCCCTGCGGAGAGAGAATCAGGTTTGATTCGAAGAAGGGGAGCGCACATACATGTGACATACCTGTAACAGGTTTTTGAAGATTCTCCTATTCTTGTAGCTCCCGCTGACCGCCTGGTTAACCAGGTTGATTGTGCTAGCGGCCTGCAGGCCACATCGCTATCATAATCCTGCTGATCCGGCACTTACTGAAGGAAGCTAACTAGCTTATTCTTAACAAAAATCTAACTTCGTCCCGTCAATATCTGTGATATATTGTGGTAACAGTACACAAGTAACTCGTACTTAATACATTGAAACTTATGACGAGGCTCTGGTCCAACTTGAACCATTAACAAGTCATAGTTGATATTCACTCCGAAGTACGGTTTATGTATTGTTCAACCACGGTATTGTGACTTTTTGCTTCTTGGTGGTAACAGGTTATATCTGAGGGACTGACACCTTCAAATACTATTTCTCCGAGGTTGATGGACTGATTACATCCTCTTCACTTTATTACACCTGCTGCCTCTGTATTTGACTGAAGAAGCCTACTGTGTAGGCGAAACGTTTCAACAATAAAAATACCCAACTGTTGCACATGTTGCTCTATTTTCAACATAACAGGACCACATTTGTTGACACAGTTCTTCAGTAGTACCCACGGCGCCCCTGCTTTTTACCGGTTCTATTCCATACTTCCATCTTTCTTACTCCATTAACCTGGTCTAGTAGGTAGCATGGAGATTAAGGACCAGCTTTCACTTATCTTCTACGTGTATATCTCTTCTCATTTCCAGGAGTACAATCCAAGTGATCTGAGTCATTCACAACACTTAATGTTTTATTGACTATATATAATTCTTTGGCTCAGTAGCCCTTCACCAGCACTTGAAAAAAAAATCTCACGTCTTCGACCCCATTTCTCCAGTTTTTTCTGCTCATTAAAAACATGTGTGTGTTCCTTGTACACACAATACATTTTTAACCTCTGATATGAGTCATAACAGAGCGTGTATCAGTATTGTATTACACACACACATTACAGTGGCCACAACAATTCTTAAGTGACAATACCGTGGCTGCAACAAATCGCCAATCCACGAACAAGTAACCTAGACAACGTTTCGGTCCGTCCTGGAGCATTCCAAAGTCACGAATCAACTTGATCATACTCCAAGACAAACCAAAACGTCGACCAATTTAACCTACATGTTTAGGGTCAGTGATAAGTACTCAATGATGCGAGATGTAAGGAATACTTGGATGTGAAAGTGAAAACTGAGGCTGGACTCGTCCCTGTCAAACCATCTGGAATTTTTTTTTAGCAAAATTGGATACATAAACAATGTTTCAATATGATAGAGTGAGAACAAAAGCAAGCTACGCTTCCCTGACAGGAGTACCAGGGAAGAGGGGAAGGGAGAGTAGGAGGAACACTCACCCTGTTGGAGTGGGCGTGCAGGACGTGCATGGGACGATGAGTCTCTTCGTCGGAGTCAGAACTATCGTGAGATTGGCTGTACCGTGATCGACCATGCTGTTGTTGTTGTTGTTGCTGCTGCTGCTGCTGCTGCACGTCCACATTCTCGTAGTCAGACTAATTTTGTTGAAAGGAGGGAATAATAATAATAAAAAAAATCTATATTCATTGGGAAGTGCTAAATCTATAAAGGGTTTAAGTGTCTGGGGAATGGGAGGCAATCAGATCTGATCCAAGAAATTGGAGATTAACTCCAGTTTCTTGGGAGACGAAGAGCTTGACCAGCATAAACACAGCCTGTGAGAAGCTAGGTCAAGTAACAGGTCACATTACCATGACTGGAACATGAAGTAACACAAGAGTTACCAGTGAGAGAGGATGCTGTAGTCTTATTATAGACATAACACAAGACAATAAGTAGTAAAACAACATAATAAGTCGTAATACAAAACAATAAGTAATAATACCGTATGAATGGTAATACAAGACTAAGTGGTAATTATAAAGGCCAGATAATAGCAGCAGTGGCGAGACTACGAGGAATATGAGGGAGAGAAATTGAGTAGTACGTGGTGGTAGTGGTGATAGTAACTGGTGGTAGTGGTGATAGTAACTGGTGGTAGTGGTGGTGGTGGTAGCAACTGGTGGTAGTGGTGGTGGTAGCAACTGGTAGTAGTGGTGGTGGTAGCAACTGGTGGTAGTGGTGATAGTAACTGGTGGTAGTGGTGGTGGTAGCAACTGGTGGTAGTGGTGGTGGTAGCAACTGGTGGTAGTGGTGATGGTGGTAGCAACTGGTAGTATTGGTAGTAACTGGTAGTAGTGGTAGTAACTGGTAGTAGTGGTAGTAACTGGTAGTAGTGGTAGTAACTGGTAGTAGTGGTAGTAACTGGTGGTAGTATCTAGTGTTGGTGGTAATTACTCCATACTAACTAGCTTGTAATAACTAAATAATAATTGACAGCGAATGTTCCAGTCAACGTCTCTGTCCTTTTGAGCAATGACAATAAATTATAAAGTTCCAAATTATCACTTTAAAAATGCAGTCAAACCAAGGACATAATACAACATAAAATAAGTGCATTCTAAAATAGATCAAACAAGGGCATATTAAAACTGATAAACCAAGGGCATACAAAATAAAGAAATACTAAACAGACAAAACAAGGGCATAATATAACAAACAAATAAAAGCATACAATGAACAAACGACAATAAACACACGGCAGGAAACAGAGTTAAAGTGTAGCAAGAAATTAGAAGATGGGAAACTAAGGAAATCAAAGACAAAAGAGAATAAGTCACAGGTCTAAACAACTAATAATAATAATAATAATAATAATAATAATAATAATAATAATAATAATAATAACTTTTAAGTAAAATCCACACTAGAACAAAGGCTAAAGCATTGTAGAAAGGCTACAAAATACTGAGCTACAGTATAAAAGCCATTAAATGCGACAAAACGCAGAATACATACGGTGTCCACATTATCATAGTCGGACTGCATGCAAAGATATCCAGAGGTCAGCACAGGGGCAGGGTACTCAACACAGGGGCAGGGTACTCAACACAGGGGCAGGGTACTCCAACACAACAGGGGCAGGGTACCCAACACAGAGGCAGGGTACTCAACACAGGGGCAGGGTACTCAACACAGGGGCAGGGTACTCAACACAGGGGCAGGGTACTCAACACAGGGGCAGGGTACTCAACACAGGGGCAGGGTACTCAACACAGAGGCAGGGTACTCAACACAGGGGCAGGGTACTCAACACAGGGGCAGGGTACTCACACAGGGCAGGGGTACTCAACACAGGGGCAGGGTACTCAACACAGGGGCAGGGTACTCGGCACAGGGGCAGGGTACTCAACACAGGGGCAGGGTACTCAACACAGGGGCAGGGTACTCACACAGGGCAGGGTACTCAACACAGGGGCAGGGTACTCGGCACAGGGGCAGGGTACTCAACACAGGGGCAGGGTACTCAACACAGGGGCAGGGTACTCAACACAGGGGCAGGGTACTCAACACAGGGGCAGGGTACTCGGCACAGGGGCAGGGTACTCAACACAGGGGCAGGGTACTCACACAGGGCAGGGTACTCAACACAGGGGCAGGGTACTCAACACAGGGGCAGGGTACTCAAAACAGGGGCAGGGTACTCAGCACAGGGGCAGGGTACTCAACACAGGGGCAGGGTACTCAGCACAGGGGCAGGGTACTCAGCACAGGGGGCAGGGTACTCAACACAGGGGCAGGGTATTCAACACAGGGGCAGGGTACTCAACACAGGGGCAGGGTACTCAACACAGGGGCAGGGTACTCGGCACAGGGGCAGGGTACTCGGCACAGGGGCAGGGTACTCGGCACAGGGGGCAGAGTACTCAATACAGGGACAGGGTACTCAACACAGGGGCAGGGTACTCGGCACAGGGGCAGGGTACTCAACACAGGGGCAGGGTACTCAGCACAGGGGCAGGGTACTCAACACGGGCAGGGTATTCAGCACAGGGGCAGGGTACTCAACACAGGGGCAGGGTATTCAGCACAAGGGCAGGGTACTCAATACAGGGGCAGGGTATTCAGCACAGGGGCAGGGTACTCGGCACAGGGGCAGGGTACTCAGCACAGGGGGCAGAGTACTCAACACAGGGGCAGGGTACTCAACACAGGGGCAGGGCACTCAACACAGGGGCAGGGTACTCAACACAGGGGCAACTTACTCAACACAGGGGCAGGTACTCACACGGGCAGGGTACTCACACGGGCAGGGTACTCAACACAGGGGGCAGGGTACTCAACACAGGGGGCAGGGTACTCAACACAGGGGGCAGGGTACTCAGCACAGGGGCAGGGTACTCAGCACAGGGGGCAGGGTACTCAACACAGGGGCAGGGTACTCAACACAGGGGCAGGGTATTCAGCACAGGGGCAGGGTACTCAACACAGGAGCAGGGTACTCAACACAGGGGCAGGGTACTCAACACGGGCAGGGTACTCAACACAGGGGCAGGGTACTCGGCACAGGGGCAGGGTACTCAGCACAGGGGGCAGAGTACTCAACACAGGGGCAGGGTACTCGGCACAGGGGCAGGGTACTCAGCACAGGGGCAGGGTACTCAGCACAGGGGGCAGGGTACTCAACACAGGGGCAGGGTACTCAACACAGGGGCAGGGTACTCAACACAGGGGCAGGGTACTCGGCACAGGGGCAGGGTACTCGGCACAGGGGCAGGGTACTCAGCACAGGGGGCAGAGTACTCAACACAGGGGCAGGGTACTCAACACAGGGGGGCAGGGTACTCAGCAGAGGGGCAGGGTACTCAGCACAGGGGGCAGGGTACTCAACACAGGGGCAGGGTACTCAGCACAGGGGGCAGGGTACTCAACACAGGGGCAGGGTACTCAACACAGGGGGCAGGATACTCAACACGGGGGCAGGGTACTCAACACAGGGGCAAAGTACTCAACACAAGAGGCAGGGTGCTCAACACAGGGGCAGGGTACTCAACACAGGGGCAGGGTACTCAACACAAACCTCAGTGGATGTCTTGCTACCTCCTTTACGGAGGCTGGAGATAGCAACACAACACACTCCCCTTGCACCATGACAGCATAACAGACATATACGCCAAGACTAAAAATATGAAGATTGAGACACTCATGCAACATATGGGAATTTTTATTTAGGAAACGTTTCACCACACAGAGGCTTCATCAGTCCAATACAAAGCAGAAATGTGTAAGGAGATGAGGAGTTTGAGGTAATCAGTCCCTCAGCCTGGAGTCGATGTGTTCAGTCCATCAATCTTGTAGAATGTACAGCATAGGGCCGTAGACGTGTCTTATATACTGTAGTGAGGTGAGGCGAAGCAGGAGGCGGGGTCATAGTGGTACCATCCACTAGTCGAAGTAGGTCTTCGTCCAGAGGTTGGACAAGTTTGAAGAATTCTTTGTATCAAGATCCCATGATGCTGCAGTGTCATCACAACTGTCAGACACTGCATCATGGGATCTTGATGCCACGTCTACGGCCCTATGCTGTACATTCTACAAGATTGATGGACTGAACACATCGACTCCAGGCTGAGGGACTGATTACCTCAAACTATTCCTCTCCTTACACCTTTCTGTTTTGTATTGGACTGATGAAGCCACTGTGTGGCGAAACGTTTCCTAAATAAAGATTCCCATATGTTGCATAAGCGTCTCAATCTTCAACTTGTCGGTTTTCAAACCATTCATCACAAGACTAAAAATATGAAACTAACACATTTTAGGCCTGAGAAAGCACTGATAAAGCAGAGGAGACTACAAAGGCAAAACTGCAGCTCTATTAATTAGGCCTAGTCTCCAGAAACTGCAATTCTATTAGGCTTAGTCTTCAAAAACTGCAGTTCTCAAATGGGAAGTCTGAATACAACTCAAATAAATCCATCTACTCCACCTATGCAATAAATCCATCCATCCATTAAATGCACCTATCCAATAAACAAACACGGTTATCCACCGACTCCACCTATCAAATAAATCAGCGTGTCATGAATCCACCTGTCAAATGAATCCACCTGTCAAATTAATCTACCAGTCAAATGAATCCACCTGTCAACTGCTAAGTCTTACGCGTCATCATGTCGTGACTTGCTAACGATCATCTTTGATCTAAACGTTTTTAAAAGCGTTCATCTTTGAGCGAAATGTTGAGTAATCAAGTCTTGCTCTGCTGCAAGTCTCTGAGTTACCTTCTTCTCATTACCTCTTTCAACCATGGACGATACCTGTTCAACTCGCTACATCAGACAAGTGATTTGTTCAACACGCTACATCAGAGAAGTGACTTGTTCAACACGTTAAGGGTTCACCATGGATGAGAATGTCTTTAAGATACAGGCAAAGTGAATTATTTCATTGAAAAGACACCGCTAAAGCTGTTGGAGGGTTATACAGCGCCTTGAAAATGGGAGGTAATCAGTCCAGCTTCTGTAACTCCAAACAGTGTAGACTGGAACAAACTACACACCGACAACTACAAACAGGTCTATAAACAGGGTAACTACTCAGACAACTACACACACACATGTAAACAAAAGCAGATAATCTCTCACAGCTCACCTGGTCTTGACCCTTAAAGTAAATAGTTTCGTAGGTGGGCGCTTCTTGATCAGCGTCCGGGGTCGGGGAGGGTGGGCACATTGACCGCCGGGGTGGCTTGGGCGGCGGCAACGGCTGGTGTGGGCGGCACAGAGGTCCAGAGGTCAGAAGGCGAATGTAGATGTGGGCGTGGTGTAGGTGTGGGCGTGGTGTGGGTGTTCAAGACGAGCGTGGGGACGGCGATCACGTGGATGAAGGCGTGGGAAGAGAGGGAGAGAAGACACAGATTTCATTAGTAATACCTCATAAAATATGGAACAAGTTCAAAAACAAAATATACATCATATGAGTCACCACAATCATACTGACACACCCAGCGTGGGCTGCTGCAACACCCAGCGTGGGCTGCTGCAACACCCAGCGTGGGATGCTGCAACACCCACCGTGGGATGCTGCAACACCCACCGTGGGATGCTGCAACACCCACCGTGGGATGCTGCAACACCCACCGTGGGATGCTGCAACACCCACCGTAGGATGCTGCAACACCCACCGTGGGAGGCTGCAACACCCACCGTGGGATGCTGCAACACCCACCGTGGGATGCTGCAACACCCACAGTGGGATGCAACACCCACCGGGGGAGGCTGCAACACCCACAGTGGGATGCAACACCCACCGTGGGAGGCTGCAACACCCACCGTGGGAGGCTGCAACACCCACCGTGGGATGCTGTAACACCCACCTTGGGATGCTGCAACACCCACCTTGGGATGCTGCAACACCCACCGTGAAATGCTGCAACACTCACCGTGAAATGCTGCAACACCCACCGTGAAATGCTGCAACACCCACCGTGGGATGCTGCAACACCCACCGTGGGATGCTGCAACACCCACCGTGGGATGCTTCAACACCCACAGTGGGATGCTGCAACACCCACAGTGAGATGCAACACCCACAGTGGAATGCTACAACACCCACCGTAGGATGCTGCAACACCCACAGTGGGATGATGCAACACCCACAGTGGGATGCTGCAACACCCACAGTGGGATGATGCAACACCCACAGTGGGATGCTGCAACACCCACAGTGGGATGCTGCAACACCCACAGTGGGATGCTGCAACTCCCGAGGGATGCTGCAACACCCACCGTGGGATGCTGCAACACCCACCGTGAAATGCTGCAACACCCACCGTGAAATGCTGCAACACCCACCGTGAAATGCTGCAACACCCACCGTGAAATGCTGCAACACCCACCGTGAAATGCTGCAACACCCACCGTGAGATGCTGCAACACCCACCGTGAAATGCTGCAACACCCACCGTGGGATGCTGCAACACCCACCGTGGGATGCTGCAACACCCACTGTGGGTTGCTGCAACACCCACCGTGGGATGCTGCAACACCCACCGTGGGAGGCTGCAACACCCACCGTGGGATGCTGCAACACCCACCGTGGGATGCTGCAACACCCACAGTGGGATGCAACACCCACCGTGGAGCTGCAACACCCACAGTGGGATGCAACACCCACCGTGGGAGGCTGCAACACCCACCGTGGAAGGCTGCAACACCCACCGTGGGATGCTGTAACACCCACCTTGGGATGCTGCAACACCCACCTTGGGATGCTGCAACACCCACCTTGGGATGCTGCAACACCCACCTTGGGATGCTGCAACACCCACAGTGGGATGCTGCAACACCCACCGTAGGATGCTGCAACACCCACAGTGGGATGCTGCAACACCCACAGTGGGATGCTGCAACACCCACAGTGGGATGCTGCAACACCCACAGTGGGATGCAACACCCACAGTGAGATGCTGCAACACCCACAGTGGGATGCTGCAACACCCGAGGGATGCTGCAACACCTACTGTGGGATGCTGCAACACCCACCGTGAAATGCTGCAACACCCACCGTGAAATGCTGCAACACCCACCGTGAAATGCTGCAACACCCACCGTGAAATGCTGCAACACCCACCGTGAGATGCTGCAACACCCACCGTGGGAGGCTGCAACACCCACTGAGATGCTGCAACACCCACCGTGGGATGCTGCAACACCCACCGTGGGATGCTGCAACACCCACCGTGGGATGCTGCAACACCCACTGTGGGTTGCTGCAACACCCACAGTGGGATGCTGCAACACCCACCGTGAGATGCTGCAACACCCACCGTGGGATGCTGCAACACCCACCGTGGGATGCTGTAACACCGTGGGATGCTGCAACACCCACTGTGGGATGCTGCAATGCCCACTGTGGAATGTTGCAATACCCAATGTGGGATGTTGCAATACCCAATGTGGGATGTTGCAATACCCAATGTGAGATGCTGCAACACCCACTGGGGAATGTTGCAATATCCACTGGGGGATGCTGCAATATGCACTATAGGAGGTTAACATACCCACTGTTATGCTGTAATAGCTACTGTGGAAGGCTGCAAAACACATTATGGGAAATTCACATACCCAATGTTATGCTACAACACCCACTGTGGGATGTTGCAATACTTACTGTGGGATCATACAAAACCCACTGTGGGATGCTACAATACGCACTGGGGGATGCAATAATACGCACTGTGGGATGCTACAATACGCACTGTGGGATGCTATAATGCGCACTGTGGGATGCTACAATACGCACTGTGGGATGCTATAATGCGCACTGTGGGATGCTATAATACGCACGGAGACCGGTTTTGAGAGCACTCACTGCCCTTTCCCCGCAGCCCGGTCCGAGGCCAGACTTCTCTGTTGACCGCCTGGTCAACCAAGCTGATTGTGCTAGTGGCCCGCATGCTCACACCGGCTGATTCGGAACGTGTAGACGGAAGTTGCCCAGCATCTTGAAAAACTGTCTTCGTCGCAGCAGTATTTCTGGTATCTGATGAAGTGCGTTGAACCAAGAATGTTAACACAGTTGATAAATCAGACATGTGCAGCACTTGGGTATCCTCACTGAGGAAACATTTCGCCACACAGTGGCTTGTCAGTCTTATACAAAGAAGAATTGTGAAGATCAGGAGGAGTTTGAGGTGATCAGTCCATCAGCCTGAAGTCGATATTATCAGTCCATCAGTCTTAAAAAGATTGATGGACTGATAACATCGACTTCAGGCTGATGGACTAATTCTGATCTTCACCATTCTTCTTTGTATAGGAATGATGAAGCCATTGTGTGGCGAAACGTGTCCTTACTGAAGATACCTAAGTGCTTCACATGTGTCTAAAATCGTGCCCATGGCCTCCGTACTCTTCAGTGGGTTTCTTCCAAACTTTACCCTGTATCTTTCACTCTGGTGAATTGCTATAGTTATGTACCTTCCATGTACGTATTATCAGTTCTCTCTCTTCTCCCTTCCTGACAGAACAATCCTGGTGCTTTGAGGCATTCCCACCAATTTAGATGTTTTCCTGATTATGTGGCAGTATATCTTTGTACAATTTCCAGCTCAGCTCTGCTCTGCTCTGCTCTGCTCAGCGCTCTCTCTCTCTCGGCTTGAAATCAGCTGTGAACACGGAAAACTATTTAAGTCGTGAAAGCACAAGTGATTTGACACGTACCATTATCGGTGTTGCTTCTGTTTTGAAACTTCTCATAATCCACTCTGTCATTTTCCACACCTTCACTACATTTGCCTTACTACATTTCCACATGGCAGATCCTCCGACATATTTATTTCCAGGTCTTTTACTTGTTCCTCAAGTTCTATGTTCTGCCTGCGTTCTGTATACTATTATGCTGACTCTGGGGGTCTTCATTCCTCCCATACCTCAGCAGGGCGGTTCTGTATATCATGCTGGCTCGGGGTGGGGGGGTGGGGGGTCTTCATTCCTCCCATAGTTCAGCAGGTGACATTTGTCACTGCTGAACATCATGGTACTGTCGTACTAAATAAGCCGAACTCCCTTAAAAGTTAAACTTTTCCAATTTTTTTTACATATTGATAGCTATTTATTGTCACTAACAGTAATATAAAGATTTTTATTTTTTGACCAAAACACAGAATTCTCACCTAACCTCCCATAAACTTCCTTTTTTTTTAGCTAAATTGTATGTATATCATAGGCTAATTTATTTACTATTCCTTAAAATCGATTATACATATTTTTTCTCCGACTTATGGCAAAAACAAATTTTAATTCGGCTTATTCTGCAAAGTGAACCCTTGCCAAATAGGACAAACTGGACGATTCGGTTTATTAGGATCGACAGTATTGTCACTTACCCACTGATTGGCTTTGTCTATAATACTGTTTTATACTGAGATTACTTTTATACTTTTTTTTTTTATTCGCCGGTACTCTCCCGGCCCGGGTCTTTTCCAAGTAGTGGTGACCCGGCCTTGGCTCCCTATCTGGGGAGTGTCTCGAGACTTAAGTCTCCCATGGGAGGAGACCAACACACGACTGCAGTATTGACCAACACACGACTGCAGCATTGACCAACACTCGACTGCAGCATTGACCAACACACTGCTGCAGCATTAACCAACACACTGCTGCAGCACTGACCAACACACGACTGCAGCATTGACCAACACACTGCTGCAGCATTAACCAACACACTGCTGCAGCACTGACCAACACACGACTGCAGCACTGACCAACACACGACTGCAGCATTGACCAACACACTGCTGCAGCATTAACCAACACACTGCTGCAGCACTGACCAACACACGACTGCAGCACTGACCAACACACGACTGCAGCATTAACCAACACACTGCTGCAGCACTTTCCAACACACGACTGCAGCACTGACCAACACACTGCTGCAGCACTGACCAACACACTGCTGCAGCACTGACCAACACACGACTGCAGCACTGACCAACACACGACTGCTGCACTGACCAACACACGACTGCAGCACTGACCAACACACGACTGCAGCATTAACCAACACACTGCTGCAGCACTGACCAACACACGACTGCAGCACTGACCAACACACGACTGCAGCATTAACACCACGACTGCAGCATTGACCAACACACGACTGCAGCACTGACCAACACACGACTGCAGCACTGACCAACACACGACTGCAGCACTGACCAACACACGACTGCAGCATTAACCAACACACGACTGCAGCAC